CCAGTTCGAACTCTTTAGTGCCTGGTCTTCCTTTTTTCCATATATTGACTACTAAATACTTTAGGTTTAAATCAATAATATTTTTCAACTAGTTATTCATATTTTAAATATTCAATCACGTTTTATATATCGAATTTAGTAACTTGTATATTTTATAGTATTTATTATTATTATCCTAGCTGTACCTGACCACGCGTTGCTGTGGCTCAGTAACGGATATGTGCTACTGAGCCACAACCACCTTCCCCTGTCCCCCAGTCCTCTCCACCATTCCCCCCTCCCCCATCCCCTCGTCCTCCCAACTCTCCCGTCCCCTCTTTCCCCACCTCCCCACCATCCCCCATCCTCCACCATCCCCCCTCACCATCCCCTCGTCCTTCCCACCATCTCCCACTCCCCTGTCCCCTCGTCCTCCCTATTATTCCCCCCTCCCCTGTCCCCTCTTTCTCCCCACTCCCCTGTTCCCTTGTCCTCCCCACCATTCCCCACTCCCCCCTCCCCTCGTCCCCACCATCTCCAACTCCTCCGTCTACTCGTCCTCCCAACCTTCAGAAAATTGAGAACATCAAATGATCTGATGTTCCCATCACTGAAAAATAAAAACAGTTAAAATCCAAATAAAAAATTTAAAGAATAAACTATACTCATGAAATGACCGGAATGGTAAACAACACAGCTCAATTCCAATGCAGCGTCACACAAAATAATTAAATCAAAATGAAAATAAATCAAAATCGATGAAAATTCAATTTATCAATGTAATCGGAAACACTGAAATGGAATCGTAACATACATAGTATAGCGTGTGTTGCTCTTGATGCACCAGATGGCGCCATTTTTTTTAAATGTTTTCACCTGTCACAGGAGTTGCATCTATATAGTAGGCATATAAAAACACGCGCGTATTCGAATGGAATGTGTGAAAATTTCAAAACAATTGGTGAAGAACTTTCGTCGATTACAGCATGTGTTGCTCTTACGTCTAACAGATTGCGTCGTTTTTTAAAAAAAAAGCACGTTTTTTTCCTGTCACAGGTGAGGCATGCATATAGTAGGTATATTAAAACACGCGCCTATTCGAATGCAACCTTGTGTCAAAATTTCAAAGCAATTGGTAAAAAGGTTTCGAAGATTTCACTCACATGAAAAACACAGTTTTTCAAAAAAGAATGTTTTTTCCTGTTACAGACGTGACATCTATATAATATGTATATAAAAACCTGCTCGAACGCGAATGGAACGTTGTGTGAAAATTTCAAAGCAACCGGTGAAGAACTTTCGGAGATTAGCGATTTTGAACAAACGAACATTTCCATTTTTATTTATATAGATATATAATATTAGTATATTAAGCTTTATCATACTTACATTTGAAGCTGTGTAGGACGCCTGTGTTAACCTTCTAAATGCGTTGTTAGTGGCTAACACAGTCAACTCTCACACGATTGAACCCTAGTTCGATCCTGAGGCATGATGAGACTCACACACGTGTCCGTGTATCTGATGTCCCTGTTCACCCAGTAGTGAACAGTTACCCGTGAGTAAGGTGACTGTTGTGGACAGTATCCTGGGAAAGGTCTATCGTAGCGTAGAGATATCCTAGATAAGCTTATCTTGCTACCTGTCAACCCCGATAATTTGGAACACTGGTTTTGTCGTTAAGACCCATTGGCGAGAGATAGAGAGAATTATCAGGGGAAAGCGCCAAGCCATTACGACTATAAAGGACTGGGAAGGGATCAGGATAAGGATTTGGGATGGGACGGGGGAAAGGAATGGTGCCCAACCACTTGGACGGTCGGGGATTGAACGCCGACCCATTGACGAAGCTTCACGAGTTCAATCAGGTTGATCATGTCCACCGTATTGAGCGCTTCTCACTCCTCTGTTTTTGTCGTCCAAAATAAACTGCCGGACAATTGTAAATAGATTGTTAAGAGAATATTTGCACGACATCGTAGAGGACATAAACAAGTCTTGTTTATGAGCAGCCTGGTTGGCACTGTGCAATATTATGAGTTGATGTGGCGCCCTCACGCTGACCACAAGGTGCTCTGTGAGCCCTGGTGTGTCTGTGAGCTCTGGTGTGTCTGTGAGCTCTGGTGTGTCTGTGAGCTCTGGTGTGTCTGTGAGCACTGGTGAGTCTGTGAGCTCTGGTGTGTCTGTGAGCTCTGGTGTGTGTGAGCTCTGGTGTGTCTGTGAGCTCTGGTGTGTCTGTGAGCTCTGGTGTGTCTGTGAGCTCTGGTGTGTCTGTGAGCTCTGGTGTGTCTGTGAGCTCTGGTGTGTCTGTGAGCTCTGGTGAGCCTGTGAGCACTGGTGAGTCTGTGAGCTCTGTGTGTGTGTGAGCTCTGGTGTGTCTGTGAGCTCTGGTGTGTCTGTGAGCCCTGGTGTGTCTGTGAGCTCTGGTGTGTCTGTGAGCTCTGGTGTGTCTGTGAGCTCTGGTGTGTCTGTGAGCTCTGGTGTGTCTGTGAGCTCTGGTGTGTCTGTGAGCCCTGGTGTGTCTGTGAGCTTGGTGTGTCTGTGAGCTCTGGTGTGTCTGTGAGCTCTGGTGTGTCTGTGAGCTCTGGTGTGTCTGTGAGCTTGGTGTGTCTGAGAGCTCTGGTGTGTCTGTGAGCCCTGGTGTGTCTGTGAGCCCTGGTGTGTCTGTGAGCTCTGGTGAGTCTGTGAGCTCTGGTGAGTCTGTGAGCTCTGGTGTGTCTGTGAGCTCTGGTGTGTCTGTGAGCTCTGGTGTGTCTGTGAGCTCTGGTGTGTCTGTGAGCTCTGGTGTGTCTGTGAGCCCTGGTGTGTCTGTGAGTCTGTGAGCTCTGGTGTGTCTGTGAGCTCTGGTGTGTCTGTGAGCTCTGGTGTGTCTGTGAGCTCTGGTGTGTCTGTGAGCTCCAGTATGTCTCAGGTTGGTCTGTGAGCTCCTATATGTCTAGGTTGGTCTGTGAGCTCCAGTATGGTTGGTCTGTGAGCTCCTGTATGTCTCAGGGTGGTCTGTGAGCTCCAGTATGTCTCAGGTTGGTCTGTGAGCTCCAGTATGTCTCAGGTTGGTCTGTGAGCTCCAGTATGTCTCAGGTTGGTCTGTGAGCTCCTGTCTATGTCTCTGGTTGGTATGTGAGCTCCAGTATGTCTCAGGGTGGTCTGTGAGCTCCAGGTTGGTCTGTGAGCTCCAGTATGTATGTCCTCAGGTTGGTCTGTGAGCTCCAGTATGTCTCAGGTTGGTCTGTGAGCTCCAGTATGTCTCAGGTTGGTCTGTGAGTTCTGTGAGGTCCAGTATGTCTCAGGTATGTCTCAGGTTGGTCTGTGAGCTCCAGTATGTCTCAGGTTGGTCTGTGAGCTCCAGTATGTCTCTGGTTGGTCTGTGAGCTCCAGTATGTCTCTGGTTGGTCTGTGAGCTCCAGTATGTCTCTGGTTGGTCTGTGAGCTCCAGTATGTCTCAGGTTGGTCTGTGAGCTCCAGTATGTCTCAGGTTGGTCTGTGAGCTCCAGTATGTCTCAGGTTGGTCTGTGAGCTCCAGTATGTCTCAGGTTGGTCTGTGAGCTCCAGTATGTCTCAGGTTGGTCTGTGAGCTCCAGTATGTGAGCTCCAGTATGTCTCAGGTTGGTCTGTGAGCTCCAGTATGTCTCAGGGTGGTCTGTGAGCTCCTGTATGTGTCTGGTTGGTCTGTGAGCTCTGGTATGTCTCAGGTAGTTCTATGAGGTCCAGTATGTCTCAGGTTGGTCTGTGAGCTCCGGTATGTCTCAGGTTGGTCTGTGAGCTCCAGTATGTCTCAGGTTGGTCTGTGAGCTCCTGTATGTCTCAGGTAGTTCTGTGAGGTCCAGTATGTCTCAGGTTGGTCTGTGAGCTCCAGTATGTCTCAGGTTGGTCTGGGAGCTCCAGTATGTCTCAGGTTGGTCTGTGAGCTCCAGTATGTCTCAGGTTGGTCTGGGAGCTCCAGTCTGTCTCAGGTTGGTCTGTGAGCTCCAGTATGTCTCAGGTTGGTCTGTGAACTCCAGTATGTCTCAGGTTGGTCTGTGAGCTCCAGTATGTCTCAGGTGGGTCTGTGAGCTCCGGTATGTCTCAGGTAGGTCTGGGAGCTCCAGTATGTCTCAGGTTGGTCTGGGAGCTCCAGTATGTCTCAGGTTGGTCTGTAAGCTCCAGTATGTCTCAGGTTGGTCTGGTAGCTCCAGTATGTCTCAGGTTGGTCTGTGAGCTCCAGTATGTCTCAGGTTGGTCTGGGAGCTCCGGTATGTCTCAGGTTGGTCTGTGAGCTCCGGTATGTCTCAGGTTGGTCTGGGAGCTCCAGTATGTCTCAGGTTGGTCTGTATGTCTCAGCTCCAGTATGGTCTGCTCCAGTATGCTCTGGGAGCTCCAGTATGTCTCAGGTTGGCGTGTTTGTGTAAGAGTAGCGTGTCAATAAGATCTGTTGCGTCTGTGAGCTGTGGTATGTGTGGAATATCTGGTGTGATCTGTTGTGATGTGTATTTAAGCTGTGGTGTGTCTGGGAGCTCTGTTGGGTCTTTAATAAAACATAAAATTTAATAATTTAGAAATCAAGAATCAAGATCAGTAATGCACTTCCACCTGTCTACTGACTCGAGCTTACCTTCGTATATGGCCAAATTTTTTATCAAAATGCTTCTCCTGTCTCATCATTAGTCTGTACTTCTTGGGCACTTGAAATATTTTATTTAGATCCTTATTTTCGCGTCAAGTCATTAATTCAGCGTTTTTTTGGTATCCGTTTTTTGTTACAATTTTATCAATCTGTATTAAATGTTCTGCCTGTATTCAGAACGCCATGGGGAGGGGGAGTGGGGTGGTGGGGGGGGAGGGGGAGTCTCATGTTCCAGAGCTGCAGAGAGCACATCATACGACGGACTTCAGATTTTCTCGAGTGCGTCGGATCTCAGCGAGGCTGTGTTTCACAGGAATCCCAGACGAGGCGCTGAGCTTGACATGCTCTGACGGTAATGTCTTGTTAGTTATTCAAACGGTAACACGTACTCTGTCTGGAGAACACACACACACACTCAAACACTGTGAGCTCTGGAGGGTGTGTAAGCCCTTGTGCATGTGTGAGCTCTGTTGTTTCTGTGAGCACTGGTTGGTTGGTGAGCTCTGGTGTTTCTGTGAGCACTGGTTGGTTGGTGAGCTCTGGTGTTTCTGTGAGCACTGGTTGGTTGGTGAGCTCTGGTGTTTCTGAGAGCACTGGTTGGTTGGTGAGCTCTGGTGTTTCTGTGAGCACTGGTTGGTTGGTGAGCTCTGGTGTTTCTGTGAGCACTGGTTGGTTGGTGAGCTCTGGTGTTTCTGTGAGCACTGGTTGGTTGGTGAGCTCTGGTGTTTCTGTGAGCACTGGTTGGTTGGTGAGCTCTGGTGTTTCTGTGAGCACTGGTTGGTTGGTGAGCTCTGGTGTTTCTGTGAGCACTGGTTGGTTGGTGAGCTCTGGTGTTTCTGTGAGCACTGGTTGGTTGGTGAGCTCTGGTGTTTCTGTGAGCACTGGTTGGTTGGTGAGCTCTGGTGTTTCTGTGAGCACTGGTTGGTTGGTGAGCTCTGGTGTTTCTGTGAGCACTGGTTGGTTGGTGAGCTCTGGTGTTTCTGTGAGCACTGGTTGGTTGGTGAGCTCTGGTGTTTCTGTGAGCACTGGTTGGTTGGTGAGCTCTGGTGTTTCTGTGAGCACTGGTTGGTTGGTGAGCTCTGGTGTTTCTGTGAGCACTGGTTGGTTGGTGAGCTCTGGTGTTTCTGTGAGCACTGGTTGGTTGGTGAGCTCTGGTGTTTCTGTGAGCACTGGTTGGTTGGTGAGCTCTGGTGTTTCTGTGAGCACTGGATGGTTGGTGAGCTCTGGTGTTTCTGTGAGCACTGGTTGGTTGGTGAGCTCTGGTGTTTCTGTGAGCACTGGTTGGTTGGTGAGCTCTGGTGTTTCTTTGAGCACTGGTTGGTTGGTGAGCTCTGGTGTTTCTGTGAGCACTGGTTGGTTGGTGAGCTCTGATGTTTCTGTGAGCACTGGTTGGTTGGCGAGCTCTGGTGTTTCTGTGAGCACTGGTTGGTTGGTGAGCTCTGGTGTTTCTGTGAGCACTGGTTGGTTGGTGAGCTCTGGTGTTTCTGTGAGCACTGGTTGGTTGGTGAGCTCTGGTGTTTCTGTGAGCACTGGTTGGTTGGTGAGCTCTGGTGTTTCTGAGAGCACTGGTTGGTTGGTGAGCTCTGGTGTTTCTGTGAGCACTGGTTGGTTGGTGAGCTCTGGTGTTTCTGTGAGCACTGGTTAGTTGGTGAGCTCTGGTGTTTCTGTGAGCACTGGTTGGTTGGTGAGCTCTGGTGTTTGAGGCTTCGTGTGTCGATGAGCATCTGGTATATCTAAGCTCTGGTGTGTCTTTGAGCTGTGGTGTGTCAGTGAGCTCTGGTAGCTGTGAGCTGTGGTGTGTCAGTGAGCTCTGGTAACTGTGAGCTGTGGTGTGTCAGTGAGCTCTGGTAGCTGTGAGCTCTGGTAGCTGTGAGCTCTGGTAGCTGTGAGCTCTGGTGGCTGTGAACTCTGGTAGCTGTGAGCTCTGGTAGCTGGGAGCTCTGGTAGCTGTGAGCTCTGGTGGCTGTGAACTCTGGTAGCTGGGAGCTCTGGTAGCTGTGAGCTCTGGTAGCTGGGAGCTCTGGTAGCTGGGAGCTCTGGTAGCTGTGAGCTCTGGTGGCTGGGAGCTCTGGTGGCTGGGAGCTCTGGTAGCTGGGAGCTCTGGTAGCTGAGAGCTCTGGTAGCTGTGAGCTCTGGTAGCTGTGAGCTCTGGTAGCTGTGAGCTCTGGTAGCTGTGAGCTCTGGTAGCTGTGAGCTCTGGTAGCTGTGAGCTCTGGTAGCTGTGAGCTCTGGTAGCTGTGAGCTCTGGTAGCTGTGAGCTCTGGTAGCTGAGAGCTCTGGTGAGTCTCAAATAATCAATATACAATTTGGGGTAAAATCAGAAATAAAATAATGATTGATCCTCCCCTTCGTTAAGGGTCAAAAGATGATAAGTAAATGCATCTCCATTTCACCCACAGTCTTCCCTGTGGACCTAATTATGGTATTTAGAACCCAATTATTGTGTTAACGTATATATTCATAATTATTTTGCCACAACTCTCCTCTTAGTTGCAGTTCCGAAAATTTGTGTTAAAATGTTCTGTTTTATATTCAGAGCGTCGAGTTTTCAGAGGCTGCAGAGAGCACAATATTATATGACCGAGAATTGAATTTGCTGGGTGCTTCAGAGCTCAGTGTGTGTGAGTGTGTGTGTGTGTGTGTGTGTGTGTGTGTGTGTGTGTGTGTGTGTGTGTGTGTGTGTGTGTGTGTGTGTTTCACAGGGAACCCCAGGCGAGGCGCCAGCCTCTTCATTCTCTTACAGTAAATGTCTGGTTAGCTATTCCAAAGGTAACTCACTCTCTCTCTCTCTCTCTCTCTCTCTCTCTCTCTCTCTCTCTCTCTCTCTCTCTCTCCCCCCGACATTTTTTAAACGAAGACTTGGGTTCATAAGGGCTTTCATATGACGTACCAAGTGAAACTGCAAGCAAAAGCTGTTATCCTTAGCTCATCTGAAGCCTGCTCCTAGAAACTCATTTATTTCATGAGAAAGTACTTCTCATGAAATAAATGTGAAACTATCGCATAGTTTCTTTATGAAACTTCCCTATCATATAAGGAATTTGGTGAAATTGCAAGTAAGAGCTGTAATCCTACCTCAACTTAGTTGAAACCTACTCCTAGAGTCCCATTTATTTCATGAACCTGCTATATACATCAGTAGGAATAGCCTTTATTCATTAACAACATTAGGTAACATTCATATAAGGAACAGACTGTCTGTCTGTCTTTCTGGTTGTCTCTGTCTCTACCTGTCTCTGTCTCTCTCTCTCTCTCTCTCTCTCTCTCTCTCTCTCTTTTGTGGTATGATAATGGTCTTTTCTGTCGACAGAAAACGAAACTATCATACCACTAGCAGTTGAAACCAGATCAGACATTAACTGTTGGTGAATCTGAGGTCTACAAACAGCTTTTTCTTTCCCATGTTGGTCAGCAGGCGATTTTATAGGACTGAAATCTCAACACATCAAGTAAATGCTAAACCCGCACTTAGTGAAGTTGCACAAGATCTTCTTACAGAACTCGCAAGGTTCGTCAACACAGGCCTGGCTGGTGGTGTACCTGAGGGCATCAGGCCCCTCTTTTATTGTGCTTCCCGCCATGCTCTTGTTAAGGTCGGGGAAATCAGGCCAATCGTTTTTTGCAACATTCTCCGACGCCTCTTTAACAAGGCTGTTGACGACTGTTAGCCAGCGAGCGGCTGAATTACTGAAATCAATTCAACTTGGATTTGAAATGAAGCGACCGCCCATGTAGCCCGAGCGTTCATCGCCAACATCTCAGACCACAAGGCTCGTCGCCAACATCTCAGAACAAGAGGCCGCCCATGTAGCCCGAACGTTCATCGCCAACATCTCAGAACACAAGGCCGCCCATGTAGCCCGAGCGTTCATCGCCAACATCTCAGACCACAAGGCCGCCCATGTAGCCCGAGCGTTCATCGCCAACATCTCAGAACAAGAGGCTCGGATCAAACTGGATTTAAAAAATTCACTTAACATGGTCAGTAGAGATGTGGTGCTCTGTGCTGTACATTGCCGTTACCGGCCTGTTCACCCGTTCATTCTATCATGCTACAGTGGTGACGATTAATTAACTGCTCTTTGGCGAACACGAAATTAAATAAAGTATCTAACAAGGTGATCCTTTAGCTCAACATCATGTTAAGTTCAACATCCTCGCGCACCACTGCACACACTGGCGAAGATTTATGGAAGGTGATTTTTAACTCTGTTGTTTGGGTTTTGTTTAGTTATGAAATTGTCGCCCTGTAGCTTGGTAGAGAATTCCACCTCTGGGACCAACTTTCTCAAGTGGCGGAGGCCTGGGTATACTTGGAAGGATCTGGGGAACGTCTCTCTGTGTTGAGGTCCAGTGATACATCAGTAGGAGGATACACACTGTCCGATCCTCACAGTGGTGACTACGACGATCGAACTCTCCCTGTCCTTATCCTCGTCTGGTAGCCGGACTCTAGCAGACGATTCTCTGATGACTGTTAGTGGCGACGCTCCTAATGTAACAGTTATAGACTTACACAGAACAGGTTGCATATACACACAGTAGGTGCATGTTTATCACAGTTGTGGACTTACACAGAACAGGTTGCATATACACACAGTAGGTGCATGTTTATCACAGTTGTGGACTTGCACAGAGAAGGGCGCTTATACACGTGTTGGGTATTTCCCGCCAAACACACACCGAAACTACGACGTTGGTACAACGTTCGAATATGATTTAACCCCTCCTAACCAGTTATAACAACCAATATAGCAAGTTGTAACAACGTTCAAATACGTCATAAACACGTTAAGCCAAGATGTAACAACTTTATTACAAGTTGTAACAAGCGGAAAATAGAGACAGTTTCGGTTTGTGTTTCCAGGGTTGTCGCTTTATGGAGCGGTCTTTTGTAGGCCACACCAGCAAAATCAAAAGTAGCAACAGTGGATATTACGTCCCGTGGGGATTACCATTTAGTGCAACGATACTCAGGGCTGATGGAATGTGTTCTGGTAACTGAGGGATTTTATTGTCGACTAGCTGTCCCCGGTCACGCATTGCTGTGGCTCAGCAACGCATGTGCATTGCTGAGCCACAGCAACTTTCCTTTGTCCCTCAGTCCTTCCCACCATTCCCCTCTTCCTCCCCACAATTCCCTACTTCCAATTCCCCTTGTCCTCTCAACTATTCTCCATTCCCCCATCCCCTCGTCCCCACCATCCCCAACTCCAACGTCCCCTCGTCCTCCCAACCATTACCCGCCTCCCCTGTCCCTTCGTCCTCCCCTCCATCTCCCACTCCCATACCCCGCGTCCTCCTCATCATCCCCCACTTCCTCGTCAGTTGCTTTCCCAAATGATCTGAGGTTTCAATAAAAAAATTGGGAACATCAAATGATCTGATGTTCCTATCATAAATGATAGGGGCCTCGTAGCCTGGTGGATAGCGCGCAGGACTCGTAATTCTGTGGCGCGGGTTCGATTCCCACATGAGGCAGAAACAAATGGGCAAAGTTTCTTTCACCCTGAATGCCCCTGTTACCTAGCAGTAAATAGGTACCTGGGAGTTAGTCAGCTGTCACGGGCTGCTTCCTGGGGGTGGAGGCCTGGTCGAGGACTGGGCCGCGGGGACACTAAAAAGCCCCGAAATCATCTCAAGATAACCTCAAGATAGATCACTGAAAAATAAGAAAAAGTTAAAAAAAAAACTGAAAAAACTATACTCACGAAATAAACGGTATGGTAAAACACACAGCTCAATTCTAACGCAATGTCACACAAAATAATTAAATCAAAATGAAAATAAATTTAAATCTATGAAAATTCAATGTATCAATGCAATCGGAAACATTGAAATGGAATCGTAACATATTTAGTATAGCGTGTGTTGTTATTACGTGCAACAGATGGCGGTATTAAAAAAAAAAAAAAATATTTTTTCATGTCACAGGTGAGCATGTATATAGTAGGCATATAAAAACATGTGCCTATTCAAATGGAACGTTGTATCAAAATTTCGAAGCAATCCGTGAAGAACTTTCGGAGATTACAGCGTGTGTTGCTTTTACGTCTAACAGAGTGCTTTGTTTAAAAAAAAAAAAAAAAAAAAAAAAAAAAAAAATAACAGGTGAGGCATGTATATAGAGGTATATAAAAACACGCGCCTATTTGAATGCAACGTTGTGTCAAAATTTCAAAGCAATCGGTAAAAGAGGTTTCAAAGATTTTCCTCACATGAAAAACACTTGAAAAACAGAGTTTTTTTTTTATAAAAAGCATGTTTTTTTCCCGTCACAGACGTGACATCTATATAGTATGTATATAAAAACCTTGGATGCGAATGGAACGTTGTGTGAAAATTTCAAAGCAATCGACGAAGAATTTTCGGAGATAACGATTTTGAACAAACGAATATTTACATTTATATTTATATAGATGGAAGGGTGTTTAAGACTTTGGAGGAGTATTTATGCCTGTGGAAAGGAATCAGTCCTGTAGAAACATGTTCAGGCTTGTGGAGGCTTGTACAGGACTGTGAAGGTGTGTAACAACCTGTGGATTTCTTCTGACGTGTCAAGGGGTGATTTAGTCTGGGGCCTGACAACTGATTGGTCAGAGCTCAGATTCGCAGTCCTCAGGGTCCTGGTTCGATCCCCGGTGGAGGCAGAAACAGGGAGGGAGGGAGGGAATTATTAGAGGAAAGCGCGAAGCCATTAATTATGACTATATAGCACTTGGAAGAGATTAGGATAAGGATTTGGGATGGGACGGGGGGAAAGAATGGTGCCCAACCATTTGGACGGTCGGGGATTGAACGCCGACCTGCATGACCCGAGCCCGTCGCTCTACCGTCCAACCCAAGTGGTTGGCAGAAACAAAATGGACAGCGTTTCTTTAACCTAATGCACCTGTTACCTAGCAGTAAGTAGGTATCTGTGAGTTAGACAGCTGCTACAGGCTGCTTCCTGGGTATGTGTGTACAACAACAAGTAGGCCTGGTCGAGGACCGGGCCGCAGGGACGCTAAGCCCAAAAATCATCTTAGGATAACCTCAAGAAGAAGGCTGATATTCTCGAGGTACCGCAGGCTCCTTTGAAGGGCTTAGCTGGGGAAGGATCTCTGCCTGTGCGGCCATCGGCTGCTGGTCCCGATTGTGTGGTGGATGCCTCCCACCCCCGTCTTATCAGGGGACTGCAGCAGCTGCTTCTCCTATGGAGAGGGTGCGTCCTCCTCGCTATCTGCTCTGGTTATGCTCGTGCCAGAGGAAATATGTCGCAAGAGGACCGGCAGAGTTCGTTCCCTGGCTTGTGAGGCTTCTGTTTGGCAGGGTGGAGACAATGGACAGTGATAGATATCACACCTCTGTCAGGATGTGATAGAGTCTGATGTGGCTCATATGAAGTCGGAGGACGGTGATTGTGATGAGGTTCCCTCCTCGGTTCAGGAGTGTGGCCCCCCGGATATGGGTGGCCCACCCCCCACCCCGCCCAGTGTTGGGAGGTTGAGCCTGGCGCCGGCAGTCGGCGGCCATGACTTGTGCTTAGTTTTGAAGAGGGGATAGGGGGTCTCTGGCCCTTCTGTGCCTCTTTCAAATGTGTCCGATGAGAGCTCGGAGGTTTGGTGTTGATTCCTTGAGTGGGGTTTCGGCTAGTCCTGACTGGCCAACCCCTGATGGGTAGGTCTATCTTTTTCCAATAGCTCCACATTTAACTTGTGCTTCTATAAATGTCAACAGGCTGCATTCCCTGGCGACTCAGTTAGGTCTGGTCTCGGTGCTTCGTAGCCATCGTGTAGTTCATGTAGTTTTTGTCTAGCTACAGAAATTTCAAGATGTGGCTCTGTTGCATGGGATGACAACAAAAGCTTACGGTGTTGCTAAATCCGTCGCGGTTGTTGGAACGGGGGAACGTAGGTGCTTCTGTCCAAGTAGCGGCCTATTTCGGTGTTGCACACGGAAATAGACGACGATGGCAAGATTTTGTTGGGCGGGATCTCGTTTATGGGGGATGGAGATTCCTTTTTTGAATATATTTTTTCTCCCTCTGAGGTGGCTAGGTGGCGGGAACGGGAAGCTTTCTTTGCTAATGAGGTTTTACATTTTCTGAGGCATGATACGCATGCCATGGTTTTGGGTGTGAATTTTAACGGTGTGTCACGTCGGTGAGGAACTGTAATAGTCTCTTGCCTGAAAATGTGTCCCGTGCATTGATTGAGACTCTTCAATGTTGTGTGTTGAGGGATGCGGCTGTGGTTCAGGGGGATACGTTGGAGTTTTACTTTTCTGTCTCGTGGTTCGTGTTCTTGTCTTGATAGGTTTTACATTCATAAGTGGAAGGTGTCAGTCGTTTCTTTCGGACGGTACCGGTTGCTTTTTCGGGCCAGGTGCGAGTGGGACGAAGTTGGTGGAAATTGAACAGCAGTTTGCTGCAGAGTCCTGATGTTTGTGATCAGTTTCTAGAATGGTCGGCTGTGTTGGTCGCTCGTAAACACTGGTTTCCTTGTCTTTTGGACAGGTGTAAGGGCTAGTGTAAGAGGCTGTTCATTGCCTTATCGAAGAGGAAGGCGGCTGCATGGTATAGGTTATTGCATGAATTGTAGGCGAGGTTGACATTTATATGGGTCATTAAATTGGGGATTTGATAGGTTTGCAAATATTTTATTATGTAAAGATCAGATTCGTGGGTTGCAAGAGGAGATTGCAGTCGCGGGTTGTGCGCTGGGGTTGGGCAGCGGTTTTCACAGAATTTGCTGTGGGAGGAGAAGGTGGATCACGAGTCTGTTTTATTGGCTGGAGTCCATATGCCGGAGATACGGTGTTGTCTAACATGGATTGGATTTCGCTCTATGTTTGGCAGGAACCTGAGGGGTTATATGGGACGGTGGAGGGGAATCGGGGTTTGGAGGATTTCTTGCTTCAGCACTGTTCACCCAGGTTGTCGTCGGTGGATTGTCTTGGTCTAGTGCAGGAGGTTGGTTATTCGGAAGTTTGGATGTTGTGCGCTCTTTCTGCAAGGGGGAAAATTCCGGAGTCTGATGGCCTCCCAGTGGAGTTTACTCTCTTTTTGGGATATCATTGATTCTGACTTTATGGAGGTGCTCCACGTTTGTATGAAGCTTATGTCGTCGGCTGCTTCGCAGGCTGGTGGTATTGGGCAGCTGCAGATGATGAATCACAACGTGGCTGAGGAATGTTGACCAAACCACACACTAAAAGATGAAAAGACGACGACGTTTAGGTCCGTCGATTATCAGGTCGATTGTTAAAAGTTTTTGTTGTTATTTTAGATTCAGCTACTCGGAACAAAACGTTCCAAGTAGCACAGACTATGATGAGCCCGTAGTGAACTTACCTGGCACAAGTTCGGGGCAGTAACTGAAGACATGAGAAAGGCACGGGCATAAGTAAGGCAAGAGAGAGGTGAGGAGGAGGAAATCTTAGAGGAAGGTAAAAGCAAGTGTAATAAAGTGTAATAATAGGTGTAATAAAGGATATATAAAGGTTAATAAAAGTAGTAAATGGGAACGAAAGAGTAAGTAAAAGCAAAAGAAAGAGAAAGAGAAAAAAGGATGGGTAGGCTAGGATGTTAGGTCACGTTTGTTGGAAAGGTTAGAACATTTGAATATGAACTGTGAAAGAGTAGAGTCAGCTACAAAGCCAGGACTAATATTCATGTTGGATAGATTGTGTATCAGAGCCGATTCGACAAGACGGCGTCTGTGAAGATTAGAGGCAGGAAAGATTATTTTAGAAAACCAATCAATAAGATGATGGGAGTCCTTAACATGACAGAAGAGAGCATTGTTTGTGTCTGCAGACGTAACACTATTTTTTGTGTTCCTTAAGTCTATCATTTATTGTACGGCCAGTTTCCTGAAAGTATTGGAGAGGACAAGACGAACAGGAAATAGAGTAGACACCAGCAGCAGGAGGAGAAGTGTGAACCAGACTAGTACGATGTTATGACCACGCATACATCAGTATGATTCTACTGAGATTGGTGTATGAGTGTGCTCAAACTATACAGTGATATCTTGGTTGATAGCCTCGTAACACGAATATTGTGTATATGATGTAATCTCATGTTACCATATATTAATCTTATTTTATGTATTGTCAATGTGTGACAGACATTTCCAAGTCTATATTTATTCTGTATCAAAGTTGTATAACATGTAATTGTGTGTGTATATATATATATATATATATATATATATATATATATATATATATATATATATATATATATATATATATATATATATATATATATTTTGGAAGCAGTCTTTCCTGTAGACATATATTATTAAATATGACCGAAAAAGTAAGATTAATAATTCTAACACGAATTTTCTCGATCTTTCGTACATTTCTTTTCACTGTTGGTGGTAATTCAAAAATCAATTCTCCAAAATTCATTTTTATTTCTAGTCTGACGCGACACTTTAGCGTGTTTCATAAAACTTATTACATTTTCAAAGACTTTAGTTTACACATACACAACTGAATAGAACTTACACATCTCTGATTTGTTTATATCGACATTTGAGTGAGGTGGATGGGGTGAGGTGGTTTTAATAGGATATTAAATTCATCAACACAAGACAGAACATGAAACAATGGGTAATGAATGGAAGTGATTGTAGAAAGCCTATTGGTCCATATTTCTTGATACTTCTATATTGGAGCGGAGTCTTGAGGTGGGTAGAATATAGTTGTGCATTAATTGGCTGTTGATTGCTGGTGTTGACTTTTTAATGTGTAGTGCCTCGCAAACGTCAAGCCACCTGCTATCGCTGTATCTATCGATGATTTCTGTGTTGTTTACTAGGATTTCTCTGGCGATGGTTTGGTTGTGGGAAGAGATTATATGTTCCTTAATGGAGCCCTGTTGTTTTTGCATCGTTAAACGCCTAGAAAGAGATGTTGTTGTCTTGCCTATATACTAGGTTTTTTGGAGCTTACAGTCCCCAAGAGGGCATTTGAAGGCATAGACGACGTTGGTCTCTTTTAAAGCGTTCTGCTTTGTGTTTGGAGAGTTTCTCATGAGTAGGCTGGCCGTTTTTTTCTGGTTTTATAGTAAATCGTCAGTTGTATCCTCTGATTTTTGTCTGTAGGGATAACGTTTCTATTAACAATATCTTTCAGGACCCTTTCCTCCATTTTATGAGCTGTGGAAAAGAAGTTCCTGTAAAATAGTCTAATAGGGGGTATAGGTGTTGTGTTAGTTGTCTCTTCAGAGGTTGCATGGCGTTTCACTTTCCTTCTTATGATGTCTTCGACGAAACCATTGGAGAAGCCGTTGTTGACTAGGACCTGCCTTACCCTACAGAGTTCTTCGTCGACTTGCTTCCATTCTGAGCTGTGGCTGAGAGTACGGTCGACATATGCATTAACAACACTTTTCTTGTACCTGTCTGGGCAGTCGCTGTTGGCATTTAGGCACATTCCTATGTTCGTTTCCTTAGTGTAGACTGCAGTGTGGAAACCTCCGCTCTTTTCCATGACTGTTACATCTAGAAAGGGCAACTTCCCATTAATGCACAACTATATTCTACCCACCTCAAGACTCCGCTCCAATATAGAAGCATCAAGAAATATGGACCAATAGGCTTTCTACAATCACTTCCATTCAATACCCATTGTTTCGTGTTCTGTCTTGTGTTGATGAATTTAATATCCTATTAATACCACCTCACCCCATCCACCTCACTCAAATGTAGATGTAAACAAATCGGAGATGTGTAAGTTCTATTCAGTTGTGTATGTGTAAACTAAAGTCTTTGAAAATGTAATAAGTTTTACGAAACGCGCTCAAGTGTCGCGTCAGACTAGAAATAAAAATGAATTTTGGAGAATTGATTTTTGAATTACCACCAACAGTGAAAAGAAATGTACGATAGATCGAGAAAATTCGTGTTAGAATTATTAATCTTACTTTTTCGGTCATATTTAATAATATATATATATATATATATATATATATATATACATATATATATATATACATGTCGTACCTATTAGCCAGAATGCATTTCTAAGCCTACTATGCAAGGCCCGATTTACCTAATAAGCCAAGTTTTCATGAATTAATGTTTTTTCGACTACCTAACCTACCTAACCTAACCTAACTTTTTCGGCTACCTAACGTAACCTAACCTATAAAGATAGGTTAGGTTAGGTTAGGTTAGGTAGGTTGGTTAGGTTCGGTCATATATCTACGTTAATTTTAACTCCAATAAAAAAAATTGACCTCATACATAATGAAATGGGTAGCTTTATCATTTCATAAGAAAAAAATTAAAGAAAAAATATTAATTCAGGAAAACTTGGCTTATTAGGCAAATCGGGCCTTGCATAGTAAGCTGATAAGTGCGTTCTGGCTACTAGGTACGACATATATATATATGGGCACTCCACGGAAGTTGGATAGCTTCTCAGACTGTCTGCAGAATCGAAGCGGAGCTTAAATCTACTGGTAAGGGATCTCTAGGTCCGGAGCTCGCTCGAGCGCATCTTCCCTCTCTGACGGCTCGTGACGTACTGTCTTCCCGCCCAAGGCGCCTGCCGCCCCGGGCCCCTCGGCTCATGACGTCACACCGCCCGAGGGCTCTCGTCATTGGTCACTTACGGCACGTGACCTCACCTGTCCAGTCAGGTGCCGGGAAGCGTCAGGACGTCTTGGCGGGAAACAGGATGGCTCGTCACCGTCCTGTGCTTCAAAAGGAGTAAGTCTTTGCATTATCAAACTTAGCTGGTCACTTTACAGCCAGCTTAATCACGCTCCACGCTTTCCCACACATGAACATGTTCCCTGAACATTTGCGAATACTTAGGCTATGGAGATATGACTCCTCTAAGCTGGGAAGGAAGAAATACATGGGTGGACACCGTCACACTATATTAAACAAACACTCCAGATTATATTCATTCTTGAGCTGATCCCAGTAATTAACACCCAGATGAATTTAATATTGAGTATGCAATTGTTTGATGGCCCTCCTTTGACCTAGATGGTCGTTGCTAACGTTTCTTGTTATAAATGGAAAGAGGGTCCAAGCTGTGGGGGAAGGGGAGGGGGGGAGAGGGAGGAGTGGCGGAGGACGATGGGAGGGAGAGGGTAGGGGGTGTGACTGTCATTTAATATTATAAAGACATTGTGACACTTAACCTTTTTATGCTTCTATTTATATTGTGGGACGGAGAGAGATGGAGACGAATAGCGATAATGAAAATACTTGGAAGTAGAGATGGAGTGAGGGAGAGAACGACGAACACTCTCTTGGGATACTCTGGGTCAGTCAAGGTCTGGGGATACTCTGGGTCAGTCAAGGTCTGGGGATACTCTGGGACAGTCAAGGTCTGGGGATACTCTGGGACAGTCAAGGTCTGGGGATACTCTGGGTCAGTCAAGGTCTGGGGATACTCTGGGACAGTCAAGGTCTAGGGATACTCTGGGACAGTCAAGGTCTGGGGATACTCTGGGTCAGTCAAGGTCTGGGGATACTCTGGGACAGTCAAGGTCTGGGGATTCTCTGGGACAGTCAAGGTCTGGGGATACTCTGGGACAGTCAAGGTCTGGGGATACTCTGGGACAGTTAAGGTCTGGGGATACACTGGGACAGTCTGGAGATACTCTGGGACAGTCAAGGTCTGGGGGATACTCTGGGACAGACAAGGTCTGGGGATACTCTGGGACAGTCAAGGTCTGGGGATACTCTGGGACAGTCAAGGTCTGGGGATACTCTGGGACAGTCAAGGTCTGGGGATACTCTGGGACAGTCTGGGGATACTCTGGGACAGTCTGGGGATACTCTGGGACAGTCTGGGGATACTCTGGGACAGTCTGGGGATACTCTGGGACAGTCAAGGTCTGGGGATACTCTGGGACAGTCAAGGTCTGGGGATACTCTGGGACAGACTCTGGCCCCTATTTTCCAATATAAAATTCAGCATTTACATTACACACAGAAATCACAAGAGCGTGACACATCACGCTATTCTACATTTAAACCTTCAAAATTTCCTAGTACTCCAGAGTGCTGAGTTCAGAGAAGTACATAACCAACATTTCTGTACCTCACCTCCGCCCCAGAGTCCAGTTCCCATACCTGGACTCTGTTAAAAGGACTTCCTGTGTGGCTCTGAATCAAAGGCCCAAATCCCGGCATATCCAACGCGCTTATCAACCCTCGAAATTAACCTGGAATGCTTAGGGAAAATCTGGAAAGTGAGGGTGATGTTTAGGTGTCGTGGAAGGTCTATAGAAAATGCTGAAACGGAAAAATGTTGAAATTAAAATAACTGAATATACTGGACAATGGAATGCGTAAGCGGAAATTTGAGGGAATAATTTTTTAAATGTCAAAAATGAATGTGTGAGCTTGTGTTTTTCACATTCATGATCATATTTGTGTATGTTTTCTCCAGTAAGCATATGTTCTGCACGCATGTGTTTTCCAGAGCGGATATGTTCTTCCATGTAAATATATTTTCATGTGTGCCTTTGTTCTCCTCTGTACATATGCTCTCCTATGTGCATCAACCCGTTCTCGCACTTGCGTATAGTCAATATTGGCTTATTTAATAAGTGCATATGTGACATAATAATTGGTTGTGAATATTTTAGTTTACCTTGAAAAGCTTCATAGAAAACACCGACCTTACCTAACCTTCTTAGTATGTTAAGATAAGCATCTTATTGCTTCTTATTTACAATTATTACTTAACCTGTCAACAGTATAGGTTAAGTAATAATTGTAATTAAGAAGCAACTGTGTCACTATGTTGGTCTCTCCCACTATGCACATTGTTACGGTGCCCTCACCTATATATATTTTTTCGTTTGCCTGCTTTAAGAGTCATATCAGCTCTCCCTGCTGATTCTCTGAGGTTCAGGGAGTCTTGATATATGTGGCGACCAGACCGGCTGCCAGTTAAGGGAGAAAGTTACATTATAAGTTGTAAATAAGGGGAAATTGGCGCCCTTTTATAAAATGAAAGAGTATCCCCTAATGCAGATATGACCTTTTGGAAGGGACACTAGCCGATCGCGGATTGGCCGACTTGGGTCGCGGGCGACCAATCAAGGCCCGCTGTGACGTCACCGAGTGCCCGGGCGGCGCCAACGTCAGAGTTGACCCGACCTTGGAAGCGACAGGACGCACCTCGGTCTGCTCTCAAGGATTAGAGGATCTACAAGCCTTTCTTAGTGGATTAGTGCTGGCTATTGCAGCCCATCTCACGTATTGGAGACCCCGCGCTTCTGGGAAGCGAAAAGGAACCAAGTTTATTGAGCGAAAGAGTGCCAAACTTGGAAAATATTCGGCGACGACGCTGGGCGGCGACGCTGGACGTTGGGGGGCCTGGAAAGGTGTGGCGGGCAAGCCTAGCTGTGACTGGGTCACATCCACTGAGGGTTGGAAGGACGACACCGTGCCTAGGACAAGGAGCAATGCCTTGTGGAAGGGGCGAGTGTGGGAAAATAGTGATTAGCTCAGCGCCCATCGATGAACCAGGATTGGGGCAGCTGAATCTCAGGGATTGGAACGGCGATGACGCGATGGCTCCACGACACCTGAGGACCCGTGGAACGTTCCTGGATCGTCGAGGATCGACCCAAGGAAGCGTGGGAACCTCACACCATCGAGGGACAGGCGTCGTGAGCCAGGAATGTAAGGTAGATCATTTTCCCTCCCATTACCCCTTGTGTGAGTAGGCTAGTTAGGCCACAATATTTACTTATGTATGTGGCAATAGGACATTAATACTTTAATAGTAGAATAGGCTGCAAGGCAGCTTGTGTCCAGGACCGTCATAGAGGACAGTGTGTATGGATGGCAGGACAGTGAAGAAGAGGCGCCGACGTGGTGAAGAGGCCCTCCTGTGAGAGAGTGTGGGACTCCTGTCTTTCTGCCCAGTTGAAGGAGTGTTGGAGGTCGTGGAAGAAGAGGCTGACGATCTCCAGACTTATTATCCTTATTTTCATATTCATGTGTTACTTGTGATTGTATGTGTGATCATGTAATTTGCATCAGTAAATTCACACTTTTATCACTGTGTTTAAGTGTGCCTCCATTTATGATATTTCTTTATGAGCATCCACGAAGGTTATCATAGTACCACCTAGGGAACACAACGTTCTCTATAGAAGTTCTTATTGCCTGGTGAGTGGTAAAGACAGCACAGACTTACATAAAAGTGTACCCTTAGCCATCCGATCAGTATCAGTGCCTGAATGGTGGCAACTATTAACGTAGTGGCTATAGAGAGGTAAAGCCACACTGACCTTCCTGGGAGAGTACCCTGGGCCAACAGTCTAGTAGCAGATCTATGGGAGTAGCAATCTTCTGGCTACAAATAATATATAATACACCCACTGAACTGCATTGCTGGGGTGCAGATATAATAACCCAGCTGGCGACCTTGTTAGGAAGAAGATAGAGAAGACAGGTAAGAAAGGAGTTCCTGCAACCTTTTTGTCTGGCAGGCAAGACTCAGGGAGGTTATTATTATAAGGTAAGCCTGAGTCTTCCTTCACTCCTCCACGGATCTAGGCCGGAACTGTTAACAGCAGTTTCCCCGTGTTTGACTGAAGGGCTTCCAGGGTGAATCAGTGGCACCCCCCCCCCTTTTTGTGGTGGAAGCAAAGACCTGCGGAGGTGGGTATTGTTGGTCCTCTCCTGTGTGACCAAGGAGACTCCGGTAAATCTCGGGAGTCGGAGGGGCTGAGTATTCGGCCTTTTGAGCCCCTAACAGCTGAGTGCTAGCAGAGCCCCGGCCCACCCACCTCCACGTGACAGAGAACTGGCGACCTTGCCAGGATTCGAACCCCGGTAGCCAAGAACTGGGAACTTCGCCAGGAAGCGTGGATCAAGCTACAGTGTGGCCCAAATTTCAAGACAAGTGTTGCCAGGGTACTAATACAGTGTGGCCAGTGAACTCAGTGGTACTGTTACTCAACCAGCTAAGGGACTGAAACGGTGAAATTAGTGCCTACTAACTTGTCTGTGCTGTCGTGTATGCTCAATGATATAGCGATGGAGGAGGACAAAGTAAAGAAATTTATTGACACAAGGGACAAGACAATTTTGGAAGAGTGTACCAAGGCCCAGCTCCAACAAGTGGCAAACCACTTTGGGATCAGGTTGAGGACGACTAAGGTAGCGGAGCGAAGGATAGAGATCATGGCACAGCTCACAGCTCGAGAGGCGATGGGAGAGGGGCCATCTCAAGAGGAGCCGTCCCGAGGAGAGCCGTCGCAAGGTGAACCGTCCCGACTAGGGCCACCCCAAGCGCCTACCAGTGTGGAGAGAATTCACAGTGAACATGGGAGCAGTGGAAGGTCCAGCTGTAGTAAGAGGAGCCTGCAACTGGAAATAATGAAGATGCAACTGGAAGCCCAGCTGCGACGAGAGGAGAGAGAAGCGCAAATGCAGCGAGAGGAACGTGCGGCTGAGCTGCAGCGAGAGGAACGTGCGGCTGAGCTGCAGCGAGAGGAACGTGCGGCTGAGCTGCAGTGAGAGGAACGTGCGGCTGAGCTGCAGCGAGAGGAACGTGCGGCTGAGCTGCAGCGAGAGGAACGTGCGGCTGAGCTGCAGCGAGAGGAACGTGCGGCTGAGCTGCAGCGAGAGGAACGTGCGGCTGAGCTGCAGCGAGAGGAACGTGCGGCTGAGCTGCAGCGAGAGGAACGTGCGGCTGAGCTGCAGCGAGAGGAACGTGCGGCTGAGCTGCAGCGAGAGGAACGTGCGGCTGAGCTGCAGCGAGAGGAACGTGCGGCTGAGCTGCAGCGAGAGGAACGTGCGGCTGAGCTGCAGCGAGAGGAACGTGCGGCTGAGCTGCAGCGAGAGGAACGTGCGGCTGAGCTGCAGCGAGAGGAACGTGCGGCTGAGCTGCAGCGAGAGGAACGTGCGGCTGAGCTGCAGCGTGAGGAGCGAGAAGCTTGGCTGCAGCGGGAAGAAGGACAACTGCGACTGGAGGAGATAAAGGCAAAGAAAGAAATCGAATTGCGTCGCGTTGAACGTGGTCTGCCCTCACTACCTGCACGGCGGGATGACCTCAATGTAAGGGAACGTGACTTACCTGCGTTCGAACCACAAGAAGCTGAGGCGTTCTTCGAACACTTTGAACGGATAGCAACTCTGAAGGAGTGGCCGGAAGATGATTGGGCTGCTCTGGTCCAGGGCAGGTTGACTGGTGAGGCCCGGGAAGCCTATAACATGCTGGACCTAGAGGAGTGTACTAGTTACGACGCGATTAAGAATGCGGTGCTCCACTCATTCCGGCTGACTCCGGAGATGTACCGGAAGCGGTTCAGAGAGTGTACAAGAGCGTCGGGAAAGACTTACGCCGAGACCGCTAGGGATATGGAACGGAAATTCCTACGATGGTTGAAGGCGGAAGCGGAGTCGGTGGATGATATCAAACGACTGATAGTGATGGAGAAGTTTATGTCAGTGCTCCATCCTGAGTTGCGAGTAAGGTTGAGAGAAGCAGGTATTAAGGACCTGAAGGCTGCTGCAGACAGAGCCGACATGCTGGAGGAGGCACTGCATCTCAGGAGGGAGGGCCGCCCAGACACTCGCCTTACCCCAGGTCGGGAGGGAACCTTAGGAGTTCAGGAGGAGCGAGGATGGGTGGGGACTCTCCCAAGAGTAGTGTACCCAATGAGGTAACCCAGTTCAAGAGCTCAAGGGACGCGGGGAGGAAGCCCCAACCTGTGAGCAGTGGACCTAGCTCGGGAGCGAGTGCTGCTGCCCGGGAACCGACGACAAAGAGTCCTAGGAGGACTCAGGGAACCTCTACCATTGGTGCTACCAGGAGGACTGGTAGAGGATCGCCTAAGAGAGGCGGTCGGTGTTACAACTGTGGGGGACGAGGACACCTTGCAAGGGAGTGCGGTCGCCCCAGGCACGGTGGAAACGTGGCTTTCGCGAGGATGGAAAGCGGAGAAGCCAACGATTATTCAGGTGATATGCCGGTGATGAGGGAGAAGAGGATCCACCCCTTTGTGTGTGAGGGACGGTGAAGATAAGGGGAGCTGATCCTGTGCCAGCGAGGATGCTGAGGGACACTGGGTCCGACTTCACCCTTGTTAGTGAATCCCTCTTCCCCGAGGACTATAGAAGTTCCAGTACAGGGGAGGCCCTGATAAGGACGTTGGGGGGACAAG